CTTTTTTTTCCTTTCCTTTTTGGCCACGCCTTGCTGCTTGCAGAATCTTAAGTTCCCCGACTAGGGATCGAACCCGTGCCCTTGGCAGTAAAAGCGGGGAGTCCTAACCACTGGACTGCCAGGGAATTCCCTTGCTTTGTTTTCTATGTACTCATCCTTTTATGCCCAAACTTTCTCCCAGTAGTATAAATTTCCTTTCTGAAGGAAAGGTCAAAACAATCAGCTATTCTGTCAGTTTCATCTTCTTGGAGATTGTCTCTGGGATCATTTTGCCCTGCTCCAGTCTGGACTGGGTGCCTTCTAGACCTGCTGTGTATCTGTCGTCCTGGGATTCTTGTTTATTGTCTGTAGACTTCCTTCATTCCTCTTTTTTTATTGGGTCTTCCATTTCCTGGATCCCATGTATTCCTCTTTGGTTCCCCCCCTCTTTGGTGAAGCTCATCCTTCCTCACTTTCCTGTGAGAGGGTTCGTGGGAAGTAAGGTTTTTGAGACTTGGCTTGTCCAAAAACTTCTGTATTCTATCCTCACACTTAAGGCTGGATTCTAGTTTGGAAATCACTTCAGAATTTTGACATTATCACTCCATTTTCTTTTTAAGTCTAGTACTATTTTAAAGGCTTTGATATTTTAAAGTCTAGTACTATTCATATTCTTTAAAAGAACCTTTTTGTTATAACATAGACACATAAAACAGCATAAAATGTATATGTATAGTTTAAAGAAGAATAATAAAACAAATGCTCATAGACTCACTACTCAGCTTAGGAAATGGAACATTACCATTACTTGGAATTCCTTATGTGTTCCTTGATTGCATTTGTTTTCCTCTTTCCAGAAGTTTCCACTGTCTTGAATTTTGTGTCAGTTACTCTCTTGCTTTTCTTTATAGTATTACCACCTACTACATGTCCTTAAAATATAAATTCTTAGTTTTGCCTGTTTTTGAACTTTACACAGTGGAGTCATAATGTGTTTATTCTTTGTGACTTGTCTTTTTGCTCAGCATTGTTTTTGAGATTCATCCATTTTGCATGTAGCTGTAAGTTCATTCATTTTCACTGCTGTACAGATTCCATTGTGTAAATACATCACTACTTACCCATTCTTCTGCCGATAGGCTTTGGGGTTGTTTCCAGCTTCCTTCTATTGTAAGTAGTGCTACCTGGAACATTCCAGTAACTGTACTCCGGTGCATATGCATATTTTTCTCTAGGGTGTGTATACCTGGGAATGGAATTGCTGGCCATCAGCCATCAGGTGTGTTTAGCTCTATGGGTAATGTCAGATTCTTTTCCAAACTAATAGTGCCAGTTTACATTCTCATGTCTTGTGTATTAACCAATTTTTACATCTTTGACAATCTGGTAGGATTGAACTAGTCTCTCACTATAGTTTTAATTTGCACCCCCCTGGTCACTGCTGAATGTGAGCTTTTTTCATTTTTCATTGGCTATTTATGTTTCCTCTTTTATGACCTAGTAATTTGTAGGAATTCTTTATATATTCTGGGTACTAACCATTTGTCAGTTATATGTACTGCTGGTCTCTTAGTTTGTGGGTTTTTTTCCCACAATACAAGCTCTTAAATTTGAAGTCAAATTTATCTTATATTTTCTTTATTGACTGGTGCTTTTTGTCTCATATTTAACAAATCTTTCCTTTTGCCAAGGGTTTAAAAGCTATTGCTGATAATACTAAATTTCAATTGTTTTTTATTTACTGCTTTGGAATCCTGTAATCTTTCTCAGTTCTCTTAATTCTAATAATTATTTGTAGGTGTTTTGGGTTTTCTTCACACTCATCTCATATGTGGTTAATAATAATTTTCTTTCTATCTAGATCTTATTTCATTTTTTCTTGCTCTAATATGTTGGATAGAATCTCCAATATGATGTTCACTTCATCTGATTTTGGGGGAATTTATTTGCTAAAGATTGTTTTTAATATCCTTTAATCTCTTTTGTTTATTTACTTACTTATTCGGTTGCATTGGGTCTTTGTTGCTGCACGTGGGCTTTCTCCAGTTGCAGCGAGTCGGGGCTACTCTTCATTGCGGTGTGCGGGCTTCTCATTGCGGTGGCTTCTCTTGTTGCGGAGCACGGGCTCTAGGCGCGTGGGCTTCCGTAGTTGTGGCACTCAGGCTCTAGGGCACTAGGGCTTCAGTAGTTGTGGCACATGGGCTTAGTTGCTCCACGGCATGTGGGATCTTCCCAAACCAGGGATCAAACCCGTGTCCCTGCATTGGCAGGCAGATTCTTAAACACTGCGTCACCAGGGAAGTACCCTCCTGGTGGACTCTTTAATCTCTGCAGCATATATACTGATATCACCACCTCATCACCCACACTTCATTCCCAGTTTTTGGCTACTTGTACTTCTTTTTCTTCCTTTACCATTTTTTTCCTTTTCTTTTTTGGACTGGTCTTACCAGAGGTTCTTCAAGTTTTTAATCTTTTGAAATAACTAAATTTTATCTTCATTGATTTCTGTTTTATATTTGTTTCCTAATTCATTGATTATTGTTCTTTATTATTTTTATTTATCTACTCATTTGGAGTTTATTTTCCAGCCCTCTTTCTAACTTTTTAGGTGGATGCCTGTCTCATATTTTGTCTTTTTTTAATGCATTTCTCTCCAAATATTGCTCTAGCCATCCCATGAGTTTTGATATATAGTTTAAAAAAAATTAATTCTAGATTTTTTTTTTTTAATGCAGACCAAGTGCAGACCTCAGGCCCAGCAGAAATCTGCATTTTTTTGTTTGTTTGGTTTTGTGTTTTGGCCTTGCCTTGCAGTTTGTGGAATCTCAGTTCCCTGACCAGGGATTGAACCTGGGCCATGGCAGTGAAAGCCCAGAATCTTTACCACTAGGACACCAGGGAACTCCCTAGAAATTTTCTAATTCCCTTTTGCTTTAGTCTTTTACCTGTGAGTTTAAAATTTCTTAATGTTCAAAAATCTTTTTTTCTTTAGTTACTTTTTTTTTTTTTTTTTTTGCAGTACGCAGGCCTCTCACTGCTGTGGCCTCTCCTGCTGTGGAGCACAGGCTCCGGATGCACAGGCCCAGCGGCCGTGGCTCATGGGCCCAGCTGCCCCACGGCATGTGGGATCCTCCCGGACCGGGGCACGAACCCACGTTCCCTGCATCGGCAGGCGGACTCTCAACCACTGCGCCACCAGGGAAGCCCTTGAGTTACATTTTTGTTATTGAAATTTCTAACTTGATTGTACTGTGGTGAGAGAATATTGCCCTTTTGATACCAGTCCTGTATCAAAATATCAAAATATAGTCCTGTATTATTTCATTTTCTACTGCATAACAAATTATCCCCAAATTTAATGGCTTAAAGAGTTAGCTCACTTTTTTAAAAAAATTAATTAATTTATTTTATTTTTGGCTGCTTTGTGTCTTTGTTGCTGCGCGTGGGCTTTCTCTAGTTGCGGCGAGCAGGGGCTACTCTTCACTGTGGTGCGTGGGCTTCTTATTGTGGTGGCTTGTCTTATTGAGCATGGGCTCTAGGCATGCAGGCTTCAGTAGTTGTGGCATGCAGGCTCAATAGTTGTGGCTCTTGGGCTCTAGAGCGCAGGCTCAGTAGTTGTCGCACAGCGGGCTTAGTTGCTCCATGGCATGTGGGATCTTCCCGGACCAGGGCTCGAACCTGTGTCCCCTGCGTTGGCAGGCAGATTCTTAACCACTGTGCCACCAGGGAAGTCCATGTCTCACAGTTTTTGTGGGTCAGAAATCTGGACTCAGCTTAGCTTGAGTTCCCTGCCTCTGGGTCTCTTATAGGCTGTGATCAAGGTGTCAGCTGGTAGGGGAGTCATCTTGAGGCTCAACTCAGGTGAATCCACTTCTAGGTGTTTGGCCTCTTTTTTTTTTAATATTTATGTATGTATGTATGGCTGCGTCAGGTCTTAGTTGCGGCATGTGGAATCTTCGTTGTGGCACGTGGGCTTCTCTCTAGTTGTGGCCCCCGTGCTCAGTAGTTGCAGTGCATGGGCTTAGTTGCCCCTCAGCATGTGGGATCTTAGTTCCCTGACCAGGGATTGAACCTGTGTCCCCTGCATTGGAAGGCGCAATCTTAACCACTGGACCACCAGGGAAGTCCATGTTTGGCCTCTTAATATTGCTTACTGACTTGGCAAGGTCATCAGTGCATTTAAACAGATTTACATATATTTACGCCATCATTTTTAGTTATTTTCAACAGAAGGGTCAGGGTACTTAATCAGCCAAACTGTTATAGAGAAAAAAATGTATCTGCTTAAGCTACTAAGGACCTGAACTAAGAACAAAGAAATGATTTTGTGAGAGGAAAATATTTTTTAGCTCAGGAAGCTGTATGAATTAGAGTCCAGTGAGGAGACCAAAAGCAACGTTACATATTTCAACAGAGGGAATTTAATAGAGGGAATTGGTTACACAGGTGTGGGAGGGCTGGGAGGCACCAGGGTAGCCTAGTGATAGTAATTGCAGGAAGCAGTCCCCTTTCCTAGGGCTGGGGACACAAAGGGAGAAGACTGGGGTTTCCAGAACCTAGATGTGTGGAGGAGAGGTCCGGTGAGGCTAGTGCTCAGATCTCTGAGAGGAATCTCTGCTTGAGTGCTGCTGCTAGTTCTGAAGGGCCCAAGGAGAGCCCTTATGTGGGAAGGAACAAGCTTTCTCCTTTCTCCTACCTTCCAGTCACGCTCTAGTTCCCCTGTTGTCCAGTCCTAACAGCTGGAAAGAGGAGAATGTAGTTTGCAGAGCTCTAGCCCCAGCATGTCTAAGCAGAGTATAGAAGAGTGGATGTCAAGGGGAGAGACAATTGCTTAATTTAAGAGGTTGACCCAGTGCCCCTGGAGCCTCAGGAGGCCTGCCCAACTCAGCCAGTGTAAGTCACAGAGGCTATAGGTTCATGACTTACACTGCTGCTGCCAACCATGACTTCAGAACTTCACAAAGCACTTATTTATAATAACTGGTATGAAATAACAACTGTTTCTCCCTTTTTCTTAGAATATGAAATATTACCAAGGTATCCGGGCTGCTGTGAGCAGGGTGAAGGACAAAGGACAGAAGGCCTTGGTTCTTGACATTGGCACTGGCACAGGACTCTTGTCAATGATGGCTGTCACGGCTGGTGCTGACTTCTGCTATGCCATTGAGGTGAGGCACACTCTTCACATGTGTGTCCTGTGTCTTATGTTGGAAATCCTTTGTGTCCCTTCCACTCTGCCCATCTATTTGTTCAGACATACATTCATGGAGTGTTCACTCCATGCCAAGCACAGGGTCAGGTTCGGAGAACACAGAGATGAATCAGACACAGTTCCTTCCTCCAGGGGCTCATTTTCTTCCCTGAAAACAGTGGTTCTCAGCCTTGGCTGCATGACAGAATCACTAAGGAACTTTAAAAAAGCTAATGTCTAGTCAGTCGTTGTCATGTCCTCCCCCCACCTACCCATTTTTTTTTTTAAATCAGTGGTGATATTATTATTATTATTATTAATTTATTTATGGCTGTGTTGGGTCTTCGTTTCTGTGCGAGGGCTTTCTCTAGTTGCGGCAAGCGGGGGCCACTCTTCATCGTGGTGCACGGGCCTCTCACTATCGCGGCCTCTCTTGTTGCGGAGCACAGGCTCCAGACGCGCAGGCTTAGTAATTGTGGCTCACGGGCCCAGTTGCTCCGCAGCATGTGGGATCTTCCCAGACCAGGTCGCGAACCCACGTCCCCTGCATTGGCAGGCAGATTCCCAACCACTGTGCCACCAGGGAAGCCCCCCATTTTAATTATTATTCTGGGATGTGGCCTGGGCATTGGGATTTTTTAATGTGCACCAAAGTTGAGATTACTACCTTAAAGGTCCCCACAGAGCCAGCCATCTTACTACATTTACCAATAGTTCCGCAGTCTGCCATTTCTTTCCTTTAATAAAACATTAAACATATATTATTTTTCTGATAATGTAAATAATACATATCCTTATATGAGATTTGGTAAATATAAAATAAAAATAGTGTGTTAACTCAAAGTTAACCATTGTTAAAATTTTGGTGTATTTTCTTCCAAGCTTTTGGGAAAGGGGGCATATATTTAAGCACTTTGCCCTACAAAATTTGGTTCATATGGTGATTAAGTTGCAGATAACAAAGTCCCAAAATAACAGTGGCTTAAACAGATAGAAGAAGTTTTTTGCTTTCTCACATGAAGTGTAGAGGTCAGCATTCTGGGTGTTCTACCCAGACTCCTTCCAGCTCTCCCGCCACTCCTTGCTTACAGGGTGGCCCTCACGCTTAATGGTCTAGAAAGGTAGGCATTTTAGGCTGAGGGAGTACCATGGTGTGTTTGGGTAAGTGTCATCCAGAGTTGTGGCAGAGGGTTGTCATGGTAGAAAAACCCAGAAAGGTGATTATAGCTAGACTCCAGAAGACCTGAGTGTCTCAATAAAGACTTTTAACTCTGATATCTTGAGTTAGGTGTTCTTAACCTGAGGTAAGAATAATGGGCTTCAGGTCTCCATAAAAGTCCTGAGGGGTGTGTGCACGGGTGCGTGCGATTCTGTACACTTGCCTCAGGATTTCATTAAATTGATTAAGAGCTGTTTCTTTGCCTTTGTGGGAGTCTTTGAGCTGATAAAAAGAAATCAGTGTAGACTCAACTAGATTTTTCTTTTTTTAAAATTTTCTTCCAGAAACATTTTAATAAAAATTGGCTGTTTCCAAGAAACACCCACTGCATGCCCACCAATAAAAGGGAACCATAACAAAATAGAAAATTTACCGTATGGCTGTGATTTAAATAAAAAAACCTAGTGCACACTCAAGCACAGTGTAGCAAAGTCAAATATTAAAGTTACATTCTTTGTTATAGGCTATGATTAGGATTCTGAAGAGACACTGAAATAAAACTTAATATAAGTGCTGAACTATTCAGGTCAAAGAACCTCTACAGAAGCATCTGACCTCAAAGTTTGAGACTCAATTTCAGAGTAAGGCATAACAAATGAACACAAGACATACAACTTGAAAGGAGGGATTCTGTAATTCCCAACATACTCTGAACCTGTTAGAACAAATCTACGGTTTTTTGTTTTTTTTTTTTGCGGTACACGGGCCTCTCACTGTTGTGGCCTCTCCCGTTGCGGAGCACAGGCTCCGGACGTGGAGGCCCAGCGGGCCTGGCTCATGGGCCCTCCGCGGCATGTGGGATCCTCCCGTACCAGGGCACGAATCCGTGTCCCCTGCATCGGCAGGCGGACTCTCAACCACTGCGCCACCAGGGAAGCCCTAGGGTTTTTTTTTAATTATTATTTTTCTTTAAACAATTGCCAAGACTGGAATCAAAGATAAATAGAAGGCACAACAGTTTTGCTCTGGTTTTGTGTTATTCAGATTTTTTTTTTTTTTTTTGGCGGTACGCGGGCCTCTCACTGCTGTGGCCTCTCCCGTTGCGGAGCACAGGCTCCGGACGTGGAGGCCCAGCGGGCCTGGCTCATGGGCCCTCCGCGGCATGTGGGATCCTCCCGTCCCAGGGCACGAATCCGTGTCCCCTGCATCGGCAGGCGGACTCTCAACCACTGTGCCACCAGGGAAGCCCGTTATTCAGATTTTTTAAAAAAAATTTTTTTTTTTTTACAAATACAAATTAAACATGAAAAAACTACTTAAAAAAAAAACCTAACAGTTCAAGAAAAGCTTAACAGTTGCATTCTAGACATTTAAAACCTATTTCACAATTTAAATTTCAGTGGTAAAAACAGTAGGTTTTGGAACTGTTTTGTGGCTACGTATCCAAAGAAAAACTCCACTAACACCTTTAATTCAGTTTTTAACCATTCCAGAGAGAATCTAAATTGACAATTTCTCCAACAGCAATTTTTCCACACCAGAAGGTAGTCATGACTCTCAAAGAAGAGACAGTTTGGGTTCTTCTTGCCTTAAAAGTGTTTATCAAATCCTGTAATTCTCACAGGCTTTTGAAACATGTAGAAAATAAGTAAGAAATATTTCAGTGAATGAAACATACCAAATGTCAGTAATAAGCAAGACACATTCCTTTGGGGAAACTGTTTAAAAGAAAACCAGTCTGTATATGCAAATAAAACAAGGAAATGCAGTCTTTTTTTTTTCTTCTTTAAAAATCCATTTTTCCTAAAATATCATTCCACAAAATTGGAAGTGAAGGACTAAAAGGTGGCGCGGTCGGGGAGAGAGGGGGAAGGAGCACACACCATTAATACAAAAAGTAAAATTGTACAAACATAGCAGTGTATCATAGACTAGAATCAGATTCCAAGATACCAAAAGTTGGCTGAAGAAATTCACCATTCTGTGGGAGCTAGGGTTTGTACTGCTGCGTGAAGATCGGTGAAGAGCAATTCACTGCCTTGGAGCAATGCCTTTCCCACTCCAAATCCTGGTTTCTGCACCATGCCTCCTCGGGGGGTGCCTGTCATCCCACCACCCAGCTCACCCCGAGGGCCTCCAGGTCCCCGCAGGCGGTTATCTCGGCGATCCCCTTCCTGGGCGGCTTGAGTCTTCTTTTCTTCCACATTCAGGCGGACCTCACCTCTGAACATGATGGGCCTGTTGCTAAGCACCTTCTGAACAGGCTCAGAATCATCAAACACAATGAACCCAAAATTGGGTAATTTCCCACCGCTGTTAATACGCAGCTCCACCACATTCCCATAATTTTGAAAAAAATCTTTAAGCTCTGATTTGTCCACCTCATGAGGCAGGTTGCTGATAAAGAGCTGGTGACTGTCAGGGTGTCTCACGATTCTTTGGGGTACACCATCACCTTGCTCACCAGCCTCACAGACTGGTCTAGGTTCCCTCTGGAGAGGAACAAGGCACAGAATACAATTAACCAAAAAAAAAAAAAAAGGGGGAAAGAAAGGTTTAGGACTTGTTCTATCACTTAATAGGTGTGTGAGTACCAGCAAATTTTTAACCCCTTAGTGTCTTTATCTGTAAAATGAAGTTAACTATCCTACAATGCCTTACTAAGAGGTTTTTATAAAGATCAAGAAGAAAAAGGTAAAAGTGTTTTGGAAATTATAAAGCCTTAAAAAAAAACAAAACACAAGTGATTCTTTCCATTTTCAGAACAAAGACTCAAAACGAATTTAAAAACATTCTCTTTCACCTAATAATCATGTGGTATCCAATATGCAAACTGGTAAGATATAGAAGAAAAAATAGTTCTGGTCCAACAGATACACATTTAATTTCTAAAAAATATTCTAATAAGTCCACATAAACAAACTTAAGAGCTTTGTATAATGCAGCACTGTCTGTAGGAGGAAATAATGGAAGCAACTTACATATTCATCATTAGGGGATTAAAACATGTTACACCTCCGGAAAATAAAACCTCGTGGGTAACAAAATTAATGCGATACATGTACTACCCTTGTAAGATGATCACAGATTATCAAGTAAAAAAGCTAAAACACAGTTTGATAAAAAAATTTGCACCTACATAGAAAAATCGTTAGCATACCAACACAAAAGTATGTCATTACAGGAACACTCTTGCATCTTCTTCAATACATTCTTACTAAATAATTCATGATTCACCAAAAACAGCAAAACGGAAAACAAAATCAAAAGCACAATTATTATACGTTTACATTATCAAGCATTACTTTTCTGATAATGTATAGGTAACTTAAGACTAATTTTTAAATAATATTTGCATATTCTACTATTACATAATTTGAACAACCATCACTTTTTGGTACTTACAAAGCACTTTCATGCAGTAACCCTAGAAGGTGCATGATGAATAAGAGAATCTTAAGGATAAGTACCCACACACTAAAACACAGCATTAGATGATGCTCAGGAAAAGAAAGGTCTCACCTGTGTAGCATGTCTGGGGCCTGGTTCAGCAGTGTGTAATACTGTCTCACAAATTCCCGCCCGACCAGCAGGGGACTAGGCTTCTCCATAACCATTGCTTTGGTCGATTCAGCCTGCACGGCTGAGCAGGAGAGGAGCAAGCTCTGCTCCACAGCACGGCAAAAAACAAAAAAACTCAACTAGATTTTATTATCTTTGTAAATGAAGAAACTAAGACCCATAGAGTTTAAAGATATAAGTCCCACAGTTAATAATTAGGAGAGCTAGACCTGGAGCTTGGTCTTTTTAGTTCGTAATATGGTGCTGACTCCACATTGGTAGCTTTGATGGGAGGGTGTGCGTGTATGTGAGAGTTAGTTTTCTATTGTCGGTGTCTGGGGTGGAGGCAGGGATGCCATTGACTGGTAAGAGGAACTCAGAGGAAGATAACTTACTTTGCAGGAAAGACAGTGCATTTCATTTTGGACGTGTTGAGTATGAGAGAGACAGGTGTTGTGGCAGAAGCCAATATATATGTGGACTGCTAATTAAAAATATAGGGTGAGAACATATTTTTCGATAGTATTGGTAGGACTGTACTCTTAGGTTTTTCCTTATTTTTACATCACTTACCTGGATTTCTAATTCTCTTGCTACTCTCGCCTGTGACTCTCAGACCTCTTCTGTTTGACTCTTGACATCTTATTGTGGCCTCCCAGTTTTTGTTTTAGTGACTACCTGTTTGATCCTCTGTTCTTCCTGTCTGTGGATTGCCCTGTGGTTTCAGCTCTGCCTGAGCTGCATGGCAACAGGAAAGACAGGTCCAGAAGAAAGAGTGAGAGAGAACCTGCTGGTCCCTGTAGACAGAAGTCTGAACCTTGAGAGAGTTGCATATATAGTGGATTTGGGACTCACTTGCTAAAGATGTGACAGGTGAAGCTGGCAGTGTAGGAGGCTGTCCACGGAGAGAGAGTACACTGAAAAGAGCAGACCTTGGAACACGCCTATGTTCAGGGGGCTGAGGGAAGAAGAGTGGCCATAAAGTCAAGTTCAGACACACGCAAAGAGACCCTAGAGGGTAGGGGCAGACTGCATAGAAATCGTGAGAAAGAGGGAGTGGTCAGTCGGTGTGGATGTTATAGAGCAGCACTTTCCAATAGAACTTTCTGATGTTGAAAATCTTCTATGGCTCTACTGGCCAGTATGCTGGTCCCTAGCCACATGTGGCTGCTGAGGACTTGAAATGTGACTAGTAGGCCTGAGGAACTGAATTTTTGAATTTTATTCAGTTTTCATTTACACTTAAATAGCTACATATGGCTACTGTATTAGCGCAGCTGTAGAAATTGAGCAGGATGAGGACTGAGAAAGCTGTGGGTTGGCAGCTAGGAGGTTATTGGTGACCCCCCTTTAGGTGATATTTTCAGGAGAGTAAGGTTGAGGAATGGATGGAATATAAGAAATCACAGACATTGACTGTAGGCTTCTCTTTTAGTACATTTGAAAAGGAAGGAATATTTGGGGAAGGTGCATTGGTTACAGTGATTTCTGTGGCAAATGCCTTGAAAACAAAGCATGGTCCTGGCTTCCTCTCTTTCTTTCTCCTTTTTTAAGGGCAAAAAGAACTTTCCCAGGCATCTCTAGCAGACTTCTCTTTAGGTATCATTGGCCAGAATAAGGTTAAATGCCATTTAACTTACCTCATTGACCTTAGACCAGACAGATGCACCACTTGAAAGAAGGTCAGTTCCCCAAACTGATTTGAGGGCCAGGAGAGGACACAGAATGATGTTGGGAAGTCAGCTTCAGGGTTCATTCCAGATAGTGTTTGGGGTGAGTTCTTGAGTTCTTGGTGGCTGAGGAGGAGGCTGTGAATGACAGAGCCTGAAGGGTCAGTGGAGGAGGTGAATGATAAGTCAAGAGGCAGGATGGCTGAAAGGATGGTGTGAGCTTGTGATACTTTTGGGGTGGAGGTAAACTGATAGGTGAGAACTGAGGGTTTGAGGCACTCAAACTATGAATACATCAAAACCATCAAGCCAGAGCCTAGAAATAATTTGAAACAGATTGTGAAGATTTTTTTTTTCCTAGCTGAGCACATATGCATTCTTTATAGAAGAATATAGCATTTCCCTTTTGATTATAATAAAAGAAATACGTGATCATGGCAGAAAATATGGGTGATGCAGAAAAGGTCTTAGAAAAAAATGGAAATCTTGTCATTGTGACCAGGCACTTTATCATTTTCAAAATTTTCCTTTCTCTGTGTGTGGCCGCATGTGCTCTGTATGTTTTATGCAGTGACGTGGTTGGAGCTGTGCAATCTAAGTTGGGCAGGCTGGAAAGTAAGAGTTGGAGAAACTTATGTTTAGGGACATGTGAAGGGTTCAGGGAAGACTTCTGTTGGGGGGGATTTGTGCTGCCCTGGAAAGTTGGGTTTGCTTTGGCAGATGGGGGTAGGGCAGGGAAGGCTTAGGCTTGCCTCCTGCACAATGAGGACATCCGCGTGGCTGTAGCGTTGGTTGTGTGTGTGTATGTGTGTATCGGGTGGAGGGTGTGGGAGGGGAGTAAGGCTGGGTAGAGTAAGGGGGTCCACATTTTGGAGGGCCTCAAATACCGTAAGAAAATATAGGCTGTGTTCTGCTAGCAGTAGGGATTTGAGACAGTTTTGAGCAGGAGGGTAACCTGCTCACACTTAACATCTACTACATTTACAGTCTCACTTTCCTCTAGAGAGCACATACACTTCCTGTCCCAGGTCACAGATCATGGTTTTGTGAGAAAAGTCCCCTTCCTGGTTCCCTCTAGCATAGCACTGGCACCTGCCATCCTTACTAGGTAGTGCAGCCTCCTTGGGAGCCCCCTGCATCCCTCCTGTGCCTGGCATGTAATGGGAAGGTCCAGCTGCAAGTTAAACCCAGCAGAATCTCATCCTTTTGTATTCATTTCCAAGACACACATTTGGAGAAGTATTTAAGTTACATAGATGAAGTCTTGTTTATTTATCAAATGAACCCAAATCAGCCCAATAAAGTATTTTGCCTGTATCAGATGGTAACAAAGGTACATTTTGTGTATTCAGGAAGAAATTTTGTAGTGTAGGCCTCTTTTACTACAAGTCATAGGACCAGAATCAAGGCATATCTTGGGTTTTAGGATGTTATTTAATTTATTGCTCATTTTTAGTTGGGTTTTGTCTCTAATTTTTAGGTTTTCAAACCTATGGCTGATGCTGCTGTGAAGATTGTGGAGAAAAATGGCTTCAGTGATAAGATTAAGATTATCAACAAGCATTCCACTGAGGTGACCATAGGGCCAGGTAAGATCAACACATCCTATGTCCAAAGCTTTACTTGCTCTTGTAGGAGAGAGGAAAAGGTTTATTCCAGTTTGTGGAATAGATGTACCCAGGTAATCACAGAGACGGGGGCCTCTCCATGTGCTTATCTGAAGATAAGCACTTTGCTTTTCTGTTAGTTTATTTCTCTACTAGTTAAAGCAAATCAGGAATGAGTATACCAGAGCTAATCAAGTATAAGAGTGGTGATGCAAACAAATGAAACCTTTTGCTTAAGCAAATTGGAATTCAAAATTTATCTGAATTATGCGTTTTATCAGATAGAAGTAAAACTAAGTTGATAGTAGAAAGAGGTTTGCTTAGTTCCGATATCTTGTCTCAGTATCCAGTGTGAGAGATATGCCTGTGTAGCTCGGTATCTCCACGTTTTCAGGATATTTTTTATAGTTAAGGAATTTGAATCAGACTTCTAACATTTCACATGCCACTGATACTGGAAGAGCACAGTGGACAAGAAGCTTCTAGGGGGACTTCCCTGGTGGCACAGTGGTTAAGAATCCGCCTGCCAATGCAGCGGACACAGGTTCAAGCCCTGGTCCAGGTAGATCCCACATGCCACGGAGCAACTAAACCCGTGCGCAACAACTACTGAGCCTGCGCTCTAGACCCCGCGAACCACAACTACTGAGCCCGTGAGCCACAGTTACTGAGCCTGTGTGCCACAACTACTGAAGCCTGTGCACCTAGAGCCCGTGCTCTGCAACAAGAGAAGCCACTGCAATGAGAAGCCCGTGCACCACAACGAAGAATAGCCCCCGCTTGCCACAACTAGAGAAAGCCTGCAACTAGAGAAAGCCTGTGTGCAGCAACGGAGACCCAATGCAGCCAAAAATAAATAAATAAAAAATAAATAAATTTATTTATTTAAAAGAAAAAAAGAGAAAAGCATCTACCTAAAGTCAACATTTTTCTCCCATTTGAAAAACATTTTTTATGGAGAATTGGAAACATTTACAAATTTACAAAAGGGATTAGTATACCCTTTATTTATTTTTAAAGCATAACGTACATATAGAAGAGTGCACAGATATCCCTTTTTTTTTTTTTTTTTTTTTTTTTTGCGGTACACGGGCCTCCCACTGTTGTGGCCTCTCCCTTTGTGGAGCACAGGCTCCAGACGCGCAGGCTCAGCGGCCATGGCTCACGGGCCCAGCCGCTCCACGGCATGTGAGATCTTCCCAGACTGGGGCACGAACCCATGTCCCCTGCCTCGGCAGGTGGACTCTCAACCACTGCACCACCAGGGAAGCCCGATCATCCCATTTTTAATCAACATTATTGAGGTATAATTCATATAAAGTGGGTGCACCCATTTGAAGTGTATAGTTTGAGTTTTAACAAATGTAAACACACTTGTAACCACTTCCACCATCAAGATACTAGAATATCTCCATCACGCTTTCCTCATGACTCTTTGTAGTCATTCCCCCCCCCCATATCCCTGGCCCCAGGCACCCACTGATCTGCTTTCTTCAATATAGATTAGATTGGCCTTTTCTAGAATTTTGAGTAAGTGAAATTGTACAGTGTGTACTCTTTTGTGCCAACTTTCTTTTCTGTAGCACAGTGCTTTTGATTTTTGTCCACAGTGTTTTATGTAAACATTCATTTCCTTCTGTTACTGAGCAGCACTCCATGTGTGTACATCCCATAATCCGTTCATCCCTTCACCTATTGATGGACATGGGTCGTTTCTTGGATAGGTCTTTAGGTTCACTGATCTTTTCTTTTGTGGTGTCTGACATGCTGTCAAGCATATCTAGTGAACTTTTCATTTCTGATACTGTATTTTTCATCTCTGAAAGCTCCCTTTGATTCTTTTTTACAACTCTCATTCTATATGTTCATGTGTTCCTTTAAATAGTTAACATATTTATATTAGCTGTTTTAATATCCTTCTTTTCCACTGCCTCTCTCTGTCTTCTCTGGGTTTGTTCTATTGACTAATATTTATCCTGGTTTTGGGTTTTGGGTTTTGGGTTTTCCTTCTTTGTGTGTCTAGTAATTTTTATTTGAATGTTGTGTATATTGGGAGCTTGGCATTGCTAAGTGCTGAGTTTTGTTTTCTTCCCTTAAAAGCTTTGTCTGGAAAAAAAAAAAAACTTTGTCTGGCATGCAGTTGGGTTTCTTGCAGATCAGTTTGATCCTTTCAAGGCTTGTTTTTAAGATTTGTTGGAGCAGGGTTAGAATAGCTTTAAGACAGTGTTTCTGAACTGCAGCACTGTTGACATTTTGGGCCTGATAATTCTTTGCTGGGAGAGTTGTCCTGTGCATTGTGGGATGTTTACCTCTGGCCTCTAACCAGTAGAAGTCCATAGCACCTCCCTCCCCCACACCATTTGTGTCAACAAAAAATGTCTCCAGACATTGCCAAATGTGCCAGGTGTGTGTAGGGGGGTGGGGGCAAAGCTCCCCCTATTGAGAACCCTTGTTCTAAGCAAGCTTTAGCCATACTAGTACAGTGTGACCTTTCTGGGGTCTCTGCTGAATGCCTGGGTGCTGGCTAATCAGAACTAGAATGTTTCTTTGTCCTCTGAGCTCTGGCAGTTGTTCAGCTTATAGCTACGTGGTCATCCTTTGCCCGGTCTTCTAGAGGCTTAGCCTGTGTGTGTGTGAATATAGTCAGCAAGAGACATGAGGGGAACCCTCTGCAGATTTCTGAAGCCCTTTTTCTGTGTAACTTCCTGTCCGGCTCTCTCCCTGAGGTGTAGCCTCCTCCACTCCCTTGAACTCTTTGCTGTCTCCTTATTCAGCAAGACACTTTGTTTGGCTTCTCACTCTGTGTACCAAGTACCATGGTCTGGAAAGTGCCTGCCGGCTGGAAGCCAGGACAGTAGTAGGGGTCACTTTGTTTCCCACTGTTCAAAGTCTAAAACCACTTGTTTCATATGTTTTGCAAGGTTTTCTAGTTGATTATGGTGGTGGATAAGTCTGATCCCAGTTACTCCATTTTGGCCCGAGATCTTGAGAGCACAGAGACTCACCTGCCAAGCAGCCTTTGCCATGTCACTTACTCTGTGCTCTGCCCTGTGCTTCCTCCAGGCTGTGTGTTGTTCACGCCAGGCCCTTATTATGTTTCTTAATATTTTTCTATGGAGTGCTTATGACTGCAATAATGAATTAATTATGTAATTATGTATTTAATGTCTGTATCCCCACACAGCTGAAGCATCCTGAGCTCATGGACTGTGTAGTCTTATTAATATTAATTCCATTCCATAACTTGGCACAGGGCCTGGTACATGAAAGAATTCAGTCATATTTGTTTAGTGAGATTGTCGCTTTGCTTGGTCCTTAACCCCTTGTAAATGGGACTTTGTTTCTACTTCTTCAACTTGACAGGTGGCTTCCTCACTGCCCGGGCTGATGGTCTTTTCCCTGCTTTACAAACACTGCAGCTTTGGTACTTCTGCCATTCAGTCCTTCTGAAAACTCTCCCTTCCCAGGCCTCAGTGACATCTCCCAGTCTTGGTTGTCCTTTGCAGCTTCCTTTTTGCTCCCAAATGCATATTTCCAAGCTTCTGTTCCTAGCCCTTTTAAAAAATGGCATCTGAGTTTGTTGCCTATTCCCCAGAGATGGATTACATGCTGAGACGTGTAGCAGCCAACTTGGGGTGGCACTTATTCATTCATCCAGTCATTTGGTGAAGACTTCTGAGGCACCTGGGGTAACTGCCCCTCCTCTGGCTCCCCCTGCACCCTCTGTACCCTTATACATTAGTACTCAACAGGCTCTCAAAAAGTATTTGTTGAAATTCATTAGATCATAAAGCTTTATTTTTGAAGCAGATTTGGGCAATAAATCATTTTAAGTTACATAATTGGCTTAAAAATTATTCAGAAGGTAGAATTGGTAGGGCTTGGTGATTGATTAGATGTAGGGTGGCAAAAAGGGAGGAATCAAGAATTTAGCTAACATTTTCTGAGTGTTACTGGGTGCTCAGCATTGTTCTAGGCACTGGGGTGCAATGGTGAACAGGCCAGTCAGGGTTCCTGTTCTGGAGCTGGTCAGTGATGCCCAGGTTTCAGGACTGTGTCACTGGTGATGCCGTTCATTGAGAAGAAATGTTGGACAGAGAAGCAGGTGTGTGCAAGTGGGGTGGTTGGCTTAGTATGGGACACTGTATTTCAGTTGGAGTTTGGCATGATATCAGAGAGGATGGGCAGTGACCCAGGAGGGTGGTCTCCGTGCCAGGAGACAGAAGTTTCTTCTCAGCCTCCTTTCACGTTGTGCTGCCATTGAGGACACGTGTACTTCATAGGAACTGGATAGGTTTTACCTTTGTTATTTGAAACACCACCAGGTGAAGCAGATCTTGTAACCTACCGCTCTTTTACAGATGAGGTGACTTATGGTCAGGACTGAGGGTTCAGGGCTAGAAAGTGGGATCCAGGCCCAGCTCTCTATGACTCAAGGCTCAAGTTCCCTCTACTGCGTCCTTCTTTGAACCTCTTAATGCTGCTCTTTTCTCGCTTCATCTGTGATACTTGTCTTCTATGTAGGGAAGATGAGTGGGCTTTGTCAAATTGTAATTCATGAGCCATTAGGAGTGTTTACAGTTAATTCTCCATGATGAATACCCCTTGCAAAGTCAGTTTTATCTCGGCTCATTAAAAATTGTAATTGTAGAAGTAACATTACTTTACATTATATTATAGAGGCTTAAAAAATAGAGTTAACAGGAAGACCTTCCATAATCCTCCTGTCCTTAAAAAACTGTTATTTGGGGGATTGTTTGGTAGCAAGAAACTAACTTGATTAAGGGGGATTTAGTGTAAGGAACCGGGGTTTCTGAATCCTGGATCTCAGTTGTATCATTGCGTATCAGTGGAATCAGCCTTTCTCTTGCTTTAGTTTTCTCCCCCTCTCTGCAGCCTAGAAATATCTGAAGTACGAGCATTCAGTTTTGCTTTTCAAATAATTTTTGCTAGTTTAATAGTTAATAGTTTAATTGTTTGTATCTCTCTAATTGCTAATAAGAATGAAAATTTTTTCATGTATTTGATTTGCTTTCTGTTTTGAATTGTCTATTTGTATTTTTGCCTGGTTTTCTTCTTGGGTGTTTGTAGTTTTCTTATCAGTTTTACAAGTCCCTTGCAATATTAAACATACAGAAAAATTGATAGAGTAGTACGGTGAACACCCATGTTCTCTTAACCAGGACTTAGGAGTCACTCGTTAGCATTTTGATGTGTACGTGTTATGTCAATGTGGATTTTATTTTATTTTATTTTTTGCTGAA